GTACTACTTCTACTACTACTACTACTACTACTACTACTACTAATAATAATAATAATAATAATAATAATCTTTATTTATACCCCGCCACCATATCCCCAAAGGGGACTCGGGGCAGCTAACATGAGGCCAAGTCCAAAAATAATACAGCAAAATTAGACATAAAACAACAGAAAAATTACATCACAACAAAATACATAAAGTAACAGAATAGAATATACCATGCAAAATAACATAATAAAAATCAAACACAAAGGGATAGGAATAAAAAGGTATATAAAATGTATTTGTGAGGGAGGAGCCCAAGAAGGGGGAGCAGTGGGGTTTGGCCTTTGTTAAGGACAGGGGAAAGTGCATCATGAGGACAACTGTAGATGGAAACAAACAAAATGGGTTGAATGGTCACTCTCTGAAGGCACATCAGAAGAGCCAAGTTTTTAGATCTTTCGTAAAAGCTGCTAGGGTGGGGGCTTGCCTAATCTCACCAGGTAGCGAGTTCCAGAGCCAGGGGGCCACAGCGGAGAAGGCTCTCTTCCTCATTCCCACAGGTCATGCTTGTGATAGAGGAAGGAGCAAAAGGAGGGCCTCTCCAGAAGATCGAAGAGATCGTGCAGGTTTATGGTAGGAGATGCGGTCACAAAGGTAGGCAGGTCCCAAACAGTTCAGGGCTTTATAGGTAATGACCTGCACCTTGAATTGGAACTGGAAAATAAACTGCAGCCAATGGAGCTCCTTGAACAGGGGGGTTGACCGCTCCCTGTAATTTGCCCCAGTTAGTAGTCTGGCTGCCAAACGTTGGACCAATTGGAGTTTCTGGGCCGTCTTCAAGGGAAGCTCCATGTAGAGTGCATTGCAATAGTCCAGTCTAGAGGTAACTGTGGCATGGACCACTATGGTCAAGTCAGACTTCACGAGGTATGGTCGCAGCTGGCACACGAGTTTTAATTGTGCAAAGGCCCTCCCACCACCAACATCTGCGCATCAAGCATCAGTGCTGAGTCCAGGAGGACCCCCAAGCTGTGGACCTGTGTCTTCAGGGGGAGTGCAACCCTGTCAAGCACAGGTTGCCACCCAATACTAACACCTTGACCAGATGTCCTTCCCTCAAAACTGTCCTGCCATTGTTTTTAAATATGTAATCCTATACGGCTCTGGCCCAGCGTACCTAGAATCATAGAATCATAGAATCAAAGAGTTGGAAGAGACCTCATGGGCCATCCAGTCCCCCCCTGCCAAGAAGCAGGAATATTGCATTCAAATCACCCCTGACAGATGGCCATCCAGCCTCTGTTTAAAAGCTTCCAAAGAAGGAGCCTCCACCACACTCCGGGGCAGAGAGTTCCACTGCTGAACGGCTCTCACAGTCAGGAAGTTCTTCCTCATGTTCAGATGGAATCTCCTTTCTTGTAGTTTGAAGCCATTGTTCCTTGTCCTAGTCTCCATGGAAGCAGTAAACAAGCTTGCTCCCTCCTCCCTGTGGCTTCCTCTCACATATTTATACATGGCTATCATATCTCCTCTACGTCCCGTCTAGGAATTTAAGGTCTTCTGGAGGGGCCCTGCTCTTGGCTCCGCCCTTGTCACAAACAAGACTGGCGGGGATTAGGGACAGGGCCTTCTTGGTAGTAGTCTCCCACCTGTGGAACTCACTCTCTGGAGAAATTAAATTATCGTCACCCCTCCTCTCTTTTAGAAGAAAATTAAAAACATGGATATGGGACCAGGCCTTTGGGTAATCTGGCAGATTGACAAGGAAAATGACGACAATGAGCTTTGGAAATGGACTATCCTAGCTAGACACACACATACACCAACCAAAGACAGTTTTTAAATATGAATGTTATTCTATCATCTATCCAATCCCACACCAAGCACTCCCCAAATCGATCCCTATGATGTCGCTGTAGTTGGAGTTGACCTCCTGGCAGCTAGAAGTATATCTCTCTGTGTGTTTTCACTATTGAGCCCAGCAGCCAAAACTGTGCTGAAGTTTTGTGATGACACTGTATCATTATTAATAAATTTAACTTACATGTATTCTTAATTTCTGTTATGGACAAGGCTGTGAACAAAGAGAGCCCTTTCATACATCTGCTGAGCATGCAGAAGTATAGAGGAAGTGTTAGTTGAAGCTAAGCTAATGGAGTCTATGCGTGACTTGGCTCACTCTCCAGCAAGAGTGCTGGCTGCTGTTAGGAGGCAGACCACACATTTCAAGGAAGTGTAATAAAAACAATCCATTTTCAGATTTTTCTAATAAATCATAGCATTCTAAATGTTAGTAATAGTTTTTATGACTCTCAGTTCAGCGTTTCAACTCCTAGAATCCCTGCTGAGGCTCCTGGGAACTGAAGTCCAAAAAATCTAGAGAACTGCTAAATGAAGCAAAGCTAAAGCAAATCTATTGGCTGGTATGTGCTCTACTAAGCTTGATCTAGCCTTGTACAAGGAAGTGCATGGGAGCGGGCATGGCTTCCCTTACTCAAAAAGGCTTAATTTGCTGGTAATTACTGTTTGCTCCATAGACACTTTAGATCCGTTTATCTGATAGCTGCCATGGACAGCAGCTGCCAATCTCTCGCTCTACCTTCCTCTCTTTCTACAGCTGCAAGAGCCAGTGATTAGCCCCACTCTCTGGCTTCTGTGCTTCCCTCTGCCTCCCCCCAATGGCTGGAACACTGGAAAATGTGGTTTTGACAGGGCAGAAAAAGAGGACAACAAGGAGTATGTGTGTTTGTGTGACTTTCTTCCCTCTTTTTCCGCTCCCATTATCCCCAGATTAGTGGTGCATGCCATAAGGACCAAGTTACACTAAGCAGTAGACAGGAAAGAATGCACCTTTTTTTCTCCAATTGTAATTAAAATCCAGATTGCCAAAGACATTTTGGGGACATTCTTGGTTATTATAGTTCTATGGCCAAGAAGGCAGCAAAATATTAGAACTGTAGCCACAATCTTCTTTTGAACATAACCTATTCTCATATACAGAGCCGGAGGTTTAGCACAGCTGGTAAATCATCAGCAACTACTGTATAACATCTATCAACTATATATCTATATATATCTATATATATCTATATCTATAGCATCTATCAACCGAAAGGTTCCAAGTTCAAAGCCCCAGGTCGGCATGAGCAACCGACTGTCAGCCCTGCTCACTGTTTACCTAAGCAGTTCGAAAACAGCTTTAGCTATAATTAGAGAAATTAGGTACCATTAAAAGAGGGGGAGGTGTTTTACAATGCCACAAAGAAAAAGAAGATCGGAAAATGCTGGAATGAGGAAGTCCTGACAGCTCTTCATCATAGAGGATGAAGCAACAGCACCCCCTGTGTACTCGAGGCCAACCATCCATGGCATCGAAACGAACACCTCCTTCTATGCTGTCTGTCTATGTACTGTCTATACAAACAGCATTGAATGTTTGCCATGTATGTGTATTTGTGATCCGCCCTGAGTCCCCTTCAGGGTGAGAAGGGCGGAATATAAATAAAGTGTTGTTGTTGTTGTTGTTATTTCTCCATCATGTCTTTACAATGTTGACAGGGAAATGGCAATAGCATTGTAACTTTGAGTGTGTGTGTGTTTGCTCTAAGACAGGCGTCTCCACACTAAGCCCCTCCAAGGTAATTTACCCATCCCGTACCCTAAATTTCAGACTTAGAATTGCCCTAATTTTGAAACAACTTGAAAGCACACAACAACAACCACTGAATTAACTTGACTATACCATCAGCCAAATGCAGGCCCACACTTCCCATTGAAATACTGGTAAATTCCATTGGTTCTTCATTTTAGAGTTCCTCACAACCTCTGCCATAGATGCAGGTGAAATGTCAGGAGAAAATGCTTCTAGAACATGGCCATACAGCCCGAAAAACCTACAACAACCCAGTGATTCTGGTCATGAAAGCATTCGACAATACATTCTTCATTTTAAATATTGTATTGTCCTTTCATGGTTTTTTGCTCTAAAAATAAGATGTGTGCAGTGTGCATAGGTATGTGTACATGTTTTTTTTTAAACTATAGTCCCCGTGTCATCCTCCTCCTCCCCACAATAGTCTGAGGAACTTTAACAGGCCCTCTGATTAAAAAATTTGAGGACTCCTGCTTTAACACATGAATTATATCACAGAATAGCTGTAACTTTAGGACAACTGAAATGTCATTCTAAAATCTCTTACCATTTTAAAATCTCTTAGACAACAACATATTTTGAGTTTGCCTTAGGCTTGGACCAAAGTCCACCTCGATGCATGGTATAAGTGCTAATTATTTTCAATTTAGATTATGTTATTCACTTCTACATTTTATAAATAGGTTTAGACAACAAAATAGTTTGAGTCTGCCTTAGGCTTGGTCCAAAGTTAACCTTGATGAATAGTGTAAATGCTAAAATGGAGCCCCCAGTGGCGTAATGGGTTAAACCCTTGTGCTGGCAGGACTGCTGACCAAAAGGTCAGCAGTTTGAATCTGGGAAGTAGGGTGAGCTCCTGTCTGTCAGCTCCAGCTTCTCATGCAGAAACATGACAGAAGCTTCTCACAGGATGGTAAAACATCTGAGCTTCCCCTGGGCAACATCCTTGCGGACAGCCAGTTCACTCCCACCAGAAGTGACTTGCAGTTTCTCAAGTCACTCCTGACACAAAAAAGTGCAAAATATTTTCAATTATGATGATTTTATTCACTTCTGCAACACTGTAATTAGGTTTAGAATTAGAGTTCCACAAGCAATTTTCATGTTATTTCCATAGTTGTTACAGTTTTAGTCAGTTCAAAATGTAAAGCTGGATTTGTTAGGGTAAAAAAAACAGAATTGGAAAACATTTCTCTGTTGTTTTGTTTCACTTCATTTTGCTCTAACACACCAGAAATGTTTCAAAATCAATTATAGAGCATAGAATGGGATGGCCAGACATGGTGGTTGAAATTGTTGTGTACACAGTGAACTGTTTAAAGGCATTCCACCCAAGAACATTACATCCAGCATATTAATTTACCTAGTGGCAGCACTGCAACCCAGTTTGGAAATTCATCAGCTACCAAACCTTCCGCTGATCTTCACATCCTCCAAATTCTAGAAGGAAAAGAAAAGAAATAAAGTCAAATACTAATAATTATCTTTGATGAAAACACTGACAATAACTGAGGAAAAAGAAAGGAGCTTTTCATTTTGTAGTATAGTAGAGAAGGGGGAATATGGATTTGAGTTTGCATGTGAACTCCTTTTATTCCTCCACATTGCTGAAACCAATCTTCTTCTTGGTCAAAACTAAGGTAACGACCTCTCATGGAGCGACTAGAAATAAGTAGCAATTAATATTTTATTCATATACTCAGATACATTTTTGAAAATATGTGAAATGCCATATTTCATCACAATATCCCTTTTTTCCACAATAAAAAATTGTGCTGGTTTTATATATCATTAAAATAACTTATTAAACTGTAGCTTGAACCCTGCTGAATAGTTTTTTTTTTATTTACTCCATGGTCAGAAAGAAATTCTGTGCACAACAATGTACTGCTAGTAAACAAGATTTTTTTTTTTCGTGTCAGGAGCAACTTGAGAAACTGCAAATTGCTTCTGGTGTGAGAACTGCAAGGACGTTGCCCAGGGGATGTCCAGATCTTTGATGTTTTACCATCCTTATATGAGGCTTTTCTCATGTCCCCACATGGGGAGCTGGAGCTGACAGAGGGAGCTCAACCATGCTCTCCCCAGATTCAAACGTCTAACTTGTCGGTCTTCAGTCCTGCCGGCACAAGGGTTTAACCTATTGCGCCACTGCGGGCTCCTAGTAGACAAGATGACAAGCACACAGTGTGGAGGAAGACAGCCTTCCCCAGTGTAAACACAGTCTACTAGCAGCTAGGCTTCCCTACTATGTGTCTTGCTGCTCTAAACAGCTTTATTGAGACTTCATTCATTCACTTACTCACCTATCCCTTCTCAGGCATAGCATTTCAATTAGCCACATGAAGCACCATGCCTGAAAAGTGAGCCGACACAGGGGTGAGCAAGTGTGTGAATGAAGTGCCACCATCATTGGGCTTCATGTGGCTGTGTGAAGCACCATGCCTGAAAGGAGGTGGTTCGCAAGTTCGCAGCTTGGGAGTGATCCTGGACTCATCGCTGAACTTGGAACCCCAGGTCTCAGCGGTGGCTGGGGGAGCTTTTGCACAATTAAAACTTGTGCACCAGTTGCGCCCGTACCTTGGGAAGCCAGATCTGGCAACGGTGGTCCACGCTCTTGTTACATCCCGAATAGATTACAATTCAAAGTGCTGGTTTTGACCTACAAAACCCTATATGGCTCCAGTCTGTATAGGGCAGGGGTCCTCAAACTAAGGCCCGGGGGTCGGATGCGGCCCTCCAAGGTCATTTACCCGGCCCTTGCTCTGGGTCAAGCCCGAGTATGAAACTACTTGAAAGCACACTATAACAAACACAATCCTATCTCATCAGCCAAAAGCAGGACCACACTTTCCATTGAAATACTAATAAGTTTATATTTGTTAAAATTGTTCTTAATTTTAATTATTGTGTTGTTTTAAATTGTTTTTTGCACTACAAATAAGATATTTGCAGTGTGTATAGGAATTCAATACTGTTTTTTTCGAGTTATAATCCGGCCTGCCAGCAGTTTGAGGGACTGTGACCTGGCCCTCTGTTTAAAAAGTTTGTGGACCCCTGGTATAGGGTTTTGTCCTATTACATTGTACTACTGCTCCTATAAGGCTAAACCAGCATAAACAGGGCTCAAGAATTGTACAAATTGCAGTAAAAAAGTAGAAGAATTTCAAGATGAAGGTGGCTATGCATCCTGATACAGAAATATAAAGTGGAACATAGACCTCAAGCTAGTTTAATAAGCAAAGCAGAAAATGCAAACAGACAAGCTGAAATGAACATGTTTCACACAGCTCCCACTGATTTTATTAGAAATTTCCACTGGACCATGCCCGATTCAATTTTTTAGATATTTAACTCTTCGTCTTATAGACGGGATGACCCAGGAGAACTGCAACAGACCTTCTGCCAACATTAGCGATGCTGCACTACATCTTATGTTAGAAGAGTCCCAATGAGTATCTCAGAAAGCAGACTATTATACATAACTCAACATACATGCAATGGAAGCAGGATTTAGCATTTAAAGTAGGTTTGAGGGAACAATTATAACATTTTGGGGGTGATAAAAAGAAAACCTACATTTTAAAAGCTATGCTGGCTCCGCACAATGAGCAGAAATAAACAGCAATTAAGGACAGGCTCGTGTCACAAAGAGGCATGATTCCAAATACACCCGGGGACAAGATCTGTTGAGTACAATGGTGCCATATTTGCAATTGCTTCTCAGAGGAGAGCTGCACTTTAAACGATGCTTAGCAACAGACATTGCACACTCTGCTGCTCCCATCAATCTGGGCACTTTGCACGTTGACTTTTCCTTTTAAGCACAAAGCAGCAAGCAACCAAATGTATTGTCTCTATGCCAACAGAAGGTCTCACAGAGGGAAGGAGAAGAGGGAGAACGTGATCTGTCTTGGAATCCTGCATTCAAATAAGGAAATTGAGTATTTTGAACATGCAGAATTTTGTGCTATTGCTTTGAAGCATAAGGCTGATAACGACCAGCTCACCTACATGGACTTAAAATATTGTGTGAGCACAGAACAATTGTTAGTATTAAAACTTCTGTTGGTTTTTACTATCTTAGTTCTACCAACTAAATAACATTGGTCAGACTCTTTGCACAACTTTTGCTATTGTCACATCTGGGACCCAAGGCTTCATGTCTCCCTGGTGACTTAAAATTGTTCTTTGTTTTAATTATTGTATTGTTTTCAAGTAGTTTTTGCACTACAAATATGGTATGTGCATTGTGCATAGCAATTCATTCATGTTTTTTTCAAATTATAATCTGGCCCTCCATCAGTTTGAGGAACTGTGACCTGGCCCTTTGTTTAAAAAAGTTTGAGGACCCCTGCTCTAAATAGTTCGGGCCCCACCTATCTCTGAGATCGCATCTCCTTTTATGTACCAGCGCAAACTCGAAGATCTTCCAGGGAGGCCCTCCTTTCGCTCCCACTACTGTCACAAGTACGGTTGGTGGGGACGAGAGAGGGCCTTCTCAGTGGTGGCCCCCCGCCTCTGGAATGCCCTCCCCAGGGAAATTAGACATGCCCCATCCTTCCCATCCTTTTGTAAGAGATTGAAGACCTGGTGGTTTCAACAAGCCTTTGAGAATGACTAGTTCTAGCTCAGCCCTAGACATTATTGAATATGACCTTATTCTTCCTAGCAATTACCCAGGTCACTTCCTCTAATAGGCCCCAGGAATGAACAGCCATAGACCCGTACCTATTATTGTTGTTGCCTGCTATAGCACTGCACTTAATTCCCAGGGCACCTAGAATTTTTGAGCTTGCACTAATCTTGGCCTGGCCTTTTAAATTGCATTGAACAGGCAGGATTTTATATATATAATGGCGACAATTTTTATGCTTATATTGTTTTGTTAATCTTATGGTTATGTTGTTTACTCTGTATGTATTGATGATGTTACTTGGAAACCGCTCTAAGTCCCCTCAGGGAGATAGAGCGGTATATAAATAAAGATTATTATTATTATTATTCCTGATGTAGCTATCCAGGAACCAACATCTGGCTCCCAAAATGATTCACCTTCAGCTACTCCTATCCCTCTGTCATGCACGAGAACAAGATGGCAAAAATGACAGTAGCAACTTAAATCACTGCAGTCTGCATTCAGGAGATATGGCTCACCCAGCATTTTAAAGGCTTCAGTTGACTGTGGGTCTTTGCTGACCACAACTCTTTTTTGCTTGATTCAGTGCCTCTTGCAATGTGATAGCAGAGTTCACACCATATTTGTAGTGGCTAGAATCTGCCATAAATGTGCTTTACCTGATATCACTTTGCTTCACCAGATATGATTCCTTGGGATAGTCCCAAAATAGCCGAGGAGTATCTTTTTAGCAGTCCCACCCTTCCAGGCCAAGCTGAGGACAACCAGGCTCGTGACTTTTAATGTGCTGGAACAGGTTTTAAAGCACCAAGTAGGTTATAGCATGCTTTCCATTGTTATGGTGTTTCATCCTTTTTTAATTTTTTGTATTTCAGATTGTTTTAGCTGTATAGCTTGAACGTATTATGTGAATCACCTTGGGTCCCACATAGGAGGAGAAAAGGAGGGGGGAAACCTTCTAAACACAGTTGTAATAGACAAATATAAGTAGAGCAAAACTGTTCTTCCAATAATTCAAATAATTCTTATTTTATAACCAAGTAGAGGATACTCTTTCCCTTCTCACATTTATTATGCTCTTTGTAAGCAGTTAACCAATCCTGAAACCATGGAAGGAACGCAAAATCAGTTTTATATCAAGCGGTATCTGAAAAACACAGAAGTTCTTGCTTTTTGTTTTACTTTGTTGTGCATTTACTGATATTGCTGCTTCTGGCACTGGGAACACTGAGAAACGTTTGGGGAAAAGCTACTTCCTCCTGGTAAGTTGAGTAGAAAATCAACAGGATGTGGAGGGAAAACATTCAATATGCTGTTTTCTATTAAGGGCAGAAGCTAGTATAAGAGATCTAATTCTTTCCATTAGAGGATCTGTAGATCTCTTACAACAATGAAACTGGGAGAGAGGGGCCTACAGAAATAATTTACGTGAGGCCCTTCTACACAGCCATATAACCCAGAATATCAGGGCAGATAACCTACAATATCTGCTTTGAACTGGAATATCTGAGTCCACACTGACAGATAACCCAGTTCAATGTGGATTTTTACAGCTATGTGGAGGGGGCCTAGGTGGGCATCTGTACATGATGAATTCACTATCATTTTGTCATTATGGGATATCTTGTTTTGAAGGGTGGTGGCTTGACTTTGAATGGACAAATAAGAAGCCTTGGATCTACACAGATGAAAATTGCTAGAACTGGCTAGTTGACAGTAATCAATATGCACTTGGATACTTGTGATATTCAAATCCTGTCCAGTCTGTTTCTCTAGAAGTACTTTAGAAGTTAATAAATAT